ATATACATATACATATACATATACATTTACACATTCACATATATAAATCCAAAGGTCAGTTATATGATATTCAGCGTCGTTATAAGACCACAGTAGAATAAAGGTACCTAGTTCAACAGATATTTTTGTCAAGATAACGTTTTTAATACTTAGATTGTTATAATCGTTATTATTCACTCACCAACATGTTTAGTATATCATAGGATAAAAAGTTTTCTAAAGTTTTTGTTTAATAGTGCAATTCCAAAATACTTATTATATTTTATTAAATACCTTGTGGAAATATATTTTTGTATTATAGAGTAAGTTTTTTATTTTTTAACATTCTATACCCTATCCAACTGTAAAAATGACAAATAGCCAAATTATATGATAGAGTGTAATTAGTGTATTTACATATTTAAGATGAAGTGTCAGTCAAATTAAATTTATAATTTTATTTAATTTTGTGGATAAAATTGATATGGCTTAACAAAAAATTATTAARAGCTTTCATTGAATAAGATATTAAATAAGTCATTGATTATTAAAGTAGCTTCAATTATTGCAAATATTAGTTGCTACCATAAATTACACGTCAGTTTAAAAAATTTTAAATTCTACARATTACAAATTTTTTAAAAGAAAATATAAATACTTYATTAWKWTTTTTTAGAATAATGTATTATTTTTATATAAAATAGACTTGAATTTTTCCAGGAATCCAAAATCAAACATTTTGTACCTATAATTAGTATCAATACCATATATTTCAAACACTTATAAATATTTACTGATCTTAAAAATTCGATATTTCTTACTTTAATTGTATGTAATATATTTTTTTATTATAAAAGAATACACMCAAAAGACAGGATCATTAAGCGGCCAAACGTTTCAAGAGGAACTTTTTTCAATGATAGAAGAACCGAATTTTTATAATCAACGAGGTAAAATTGCTACATTTTTTCTGGAAAAAAAATTTTTATAAAAGGTGGCTTAGGATTTATAGAAAGGCTTATAATTCGTATGTTTAAGCACAGTTCCCGACTAGATCAATTTATTTATATATAAAACTTAGTTTATTTCTATAAATAAATTGTTCTAATTTTATAATAATTTTGTTTATTAGGCCTTTGTTTATGTTTCAACGGCTTACTCGCACTGCGTTTACAATAAAATCGAAGAAAATTTCTATAAGTCACCTATGAAAACAGAAGACATAATTAGATTGACAGAGATTTTAACCGAAGACCAATTAGATTTAATCACCCAAAAGTAATAWAACATGAAACCTATTGCATTYTTTTARWSATAAGTCKATAAGCWTATTCGTTTGTTTTAYAGGCTACTRGGTAAGTGGCCTAACACTTACRCATTTTCAAAGGCAATCTGTGAAGATACAGTAYAACAATATTCTAATGGAACTCCAACTTGTATCGTTCGGCTAATTGTTGTTGTATCAACAGAAAAGGAACCAATTGCTGGTTGGATAAACAATTTGTATGGACTTACAGGTTTTGCTTTTGGTAGCTTTAAAGGTGTTTTACGATCACTGTATTGTAATGAAAACTTTATTTKCGACCTAATTCCTGCTGWWTATGTTGTCAACAATATTATTCCTGCATCATGGGACGTTGCACTAAAACGGTAGTTTTCATATTCATTTTTGAATAATCTCTGGTATCAACTTTTAGTTAATCTTTTAAAATATCATTTACAATAAATAAGTTAGAACTTTTTTTGTAGATCCATTTTACAGAGTGTTAATCTTTCCAGCAGAAGTAATAAATATTTACCTGTAGATAAAGATATTACAGTTTATAATGCGGTTTCCTGAGTTCTAAAACCAATTACTTCGAGTACTATGGAGAATTACCTGAGAACTAACGGATT